AGAGAGAGAGAGAGAGAGAGAGAGAGAGAGAGAGAGAGAGAGAGCTTAATGATTTAACGTGAAGAACACACAAGCATAGCAATACTAGAATTTAAGGTAAAACTACATAGTAACTGTACTGATCGTGGAGGGTGTCTGTTGGCCGATCTCGCGCAATGGAAATCGCCACGAAAAACTGAGCGGACCGACGCTTAGAAAAAAGTATATTCGCGTTCTCCTCAGTGCTTCGTTGCACTCTTTTTAAAATTTTAGTTTTTAATTTTTACTTTTGTTTTTTTTATATAATTATGCAACATCATTGCATTCCTCGCCATACAATCTGCGTTCCACGTATTACGATAAAAAGATGAAAAATTAACAAAGAGAAGTTCTTTATACGTTTCAAAACAGTATTCTTAGAAACGAACTGTCAGTATATGTTTCGAGTATTATTTGCGATTAATTATTCACGATAGAGAACAAGTCACCTTCGACATTTCCATTCTCTTAAAGCTTATTACGAGTTATCTTCCGGCGGTGCGCGGAATACTGGTTGATTAACGTCTTTTGAAAGAGAAAGTTCACTTGTATTTCGACTTTCACGTATTCCTACGCAACCTATGCATTACGCTCGAGAAACGAGGGATAGCACTTGTTTTGCGCACACTTATCCGTAGAAATTGCGGTATGTTGATTTCGCGAACGACACTGACGATCGTTCTTATTTTTGCGTGAAATATTCTGGAGGAAAGTTTACATTACGACTGCGTATGATTATTCCATCCATAGTTCACTTCTCGCGAAAACAAGCCATCCAGCGTTTTTCAAGAGAACTGCGATTAATTTCCGGGAGCGTCGATAATCACTATGATATTATAATAAGCCCAACAAACACAATGTTACATGTTAGTTGTAATTTCCTACTCAACAATATAACTGTTACATAACACGCATGTTATATAACAGTTATATTGTTGAGTAGGAAATTACAACTAACATATACGTTAAATGTAACATTGTGTGCTGGGAGTGTTATTGTTGTTGTCATTATTAATAATCTTATATCTACTGACACTATACTATCGTGCGTGTCAGTAGATATAAGATTATTAATAATGACAACAACATTAACACTTATTATATTGCGAATAATAATTTCTTGTGATTAAATCTCTGTATAAAACGTACAAGGAAGAATTCAAGATATTGTAGCTGATAGAATTCTATAATAGAGATGGAAGTGACCGAAGAGAGTGTATTTCTAAAAGTTATTATTTGCAAAGAGTATTTTTCAAATATTTTCAATTATTTTTTAATATTATATCAGGATCCCCCTCTGTATAAATTGGTATATATGTTTCATATTTGTACAAAATAAAATTTATATTGTCTACTCACAAATACTAATTTTAACTTATTTACGAATAACAATTTCAACCTAACCTAATCTAACGACCGAGGTTATATACGCCATGCGCGCCATTTAAAGCGATCAGCTGATTTAATGCAACTGTTGCTGCCGATTTGTTGCCAATTTGCGCTCAACTGTTGAGTTCAAGACGCTGTTCCGGTGTTGCGGCCAACTTGCTGCCAACCTATGCGCGCAATGTTTGCGCGCTGTTTGCTGCAAATTTGCATCAAACTCTTGACGTCAACTGTTGGTGCCAAATCCATAGCCTAAAAATGCTGCTACATGGCTATGGATTTGACATCAACAGTTGACTTATGTTGATGCCAAGTTGCGCGCAATTTGCGCTCAATTTGCTTACTGGGTATATATATATATATATATATATATATACATATATATATATATATATATATATATATA